TATATGCATTCGCCACAATATGATAGGCAATCACCACAACATGATAGGCATTCACCACAACATGATACATTACATGTTAAGCATTCACCACAACATGATAGGCATTCACTATAACATGATAGTCATTCACCACAATGTGATAGTCATTCATCACAACACAATAGGCATTCACTGAGACATGATAGGCGAGCATATTCACCACGACATGATATACATATGCCACCACATGGTAGGCATTCACCATTAATACATGGTAGGCATTCACTATAACATATGGTAGGCACATTCACCACAACGTGATAAGCATTGGTTGATATTATGGATAATGCTTTGCAAGTCATGCAATATCTAATGCTATAATGAAAACGAGGACTATGTCAATGACTTATAATAGATCCTTATAAATGTGGGAAATTCATTCATGTGCAGGCATTGACCTCAACATTGTCAGATTATTGTCATATTAATATTGACATTAATACATTTGTAGTACAAATTAAAGTCAGAAAACATTTAATAGAACTAAACACTATTTAAACAAAAACTACACATGATATTCTGATAATAAAATCCATGGTAATTATAACACTGGAAATATACCCAGCAATTCAGTTTAATTAGTTAATTACTCAGCTATCAGTTGTAAACAATTATAATAATTATATGCTTTATACTAGAACATGGACTTTATGTGGTACTCCAGAATACTTAGCACCTGAAATCATCCAAAGTAAAGGACATGGAATGTCTGTAGATTGGTGGGCATTAGGTATTCTTATATTTGAAATGCTGGTAGGGTAAGTTAAATAATCATTATACATTACTGTAATTAACCTTTTCAACACCAGATTTCGTGCTCAAGTTTGTCTGCACTTTTTTCTTATATTCTTCAATATTTCTGTAAATTTCCTAATATTGGAGCCAACAGACAACAGCTTTTAGTCAAAAAATTTAGCTATTTTTGTCCGAATCTTCTGAAGGAAAGTGGGACTATTTTGTGAATTTGTGATGAAAAGAAGAAACTGGTGGTGAAAAGGTTATTATTGCCAATTTTTATTATTTAGCTGTCCTTATTGATTTCTCTGGTTATATTATCTGCAGTGCATCATAAGAACATATACATGTACATGTATGTGTCTACTAAAGTTGTGTTATTGGAGTGGCCGACTGGCAGCCATGATATTAGACATAACAATCTAACAGTGTGGACAATTTAAATATTTCCATAAAGTACATCTGTACAGTATGAATGTTATATAGTATAGGAATTAAAATATCACAAACTTTATAAACTTGTTTTTTGAAAAACAAAAATCATGATATATATTAAACAATGTACATATGTACAGCTGGAAATTCAGAAATCTGCTTAATAGTTCTTCCACATTTAGTTTTCTATGGTCAAAATAAGTAAATTAATATTTTAATAATTGAGTATACAACAAAATGCAAACAACTTTGGTTTATATGTACTTGTATTGGAGATATGCTTCTAATAGAACAAATATGGTAAATATGTATTCTGGATTGATGACAACTATTGTACTGGTTTATTAAACCATCTTGACATGTCATCAATTTGAAAGTATTTTTTATCTCATTATTTTCAGATATCCTCCTTTTTTTGATGACAATCCCTTTGGTATTTACGAGAAAATTTTGGCTGCTAAGATTGAATGGCCACGACATCTAGACCTGAATGCCAAGTAAGACATCAATAATTATATATAACACGTTTTCATTCTTCTCTGAAATATTTGCTCAGATTGTGACAGATTATAAGTTAATGAAATATTACTAAATATGTTCAATAGTGAGAGCAATGGGAGTGTATAATTTAAAGAAAGTCAATACATATTACCGGGGTATATCATAATATGTATTTTTTTTATTAATTTTACATTGGCCTTGGCCAATAACTTCTACTCGATGACGGTAACGTTAACAGAGACTTATGACCTCAAGTGTACCTGTGTACCCAAATCAAGCATTATTTCTGCAATTCTGAATCCAAAACTTATAGGCATACATAGTACAATTTACTTCAAACTTGGTTCTACAATATTAAACCCTGTTTAGCAATGGATGCCCTTTTGTTAAATAGATCTGATTCAAAATGACCGTTGAGTGGCCATAATGTTTGCAAAAATGGTGTTCCAGATCCATACATCGATTTTATATCTCTAACACGTGATTCAAAATTGCTTCATGGGATATTTGTGCTTGCATTCTATAAGTCGGTCATGATCTAGATCAAACTTTTGATGATCTAGATAAATTTTCAGATAATACTAATATACATCTATTAGTATATGATGGGACATATTTTCGAATAATTAGTTTTTGTTGATAGTATTGATGGCAAGTATTCTTAAGAAATGTAATAGATGAGAGACCTCTATGATTTCATAATTAGAAAACTGTTGCCTAGAGCAACAACAAAATAAAGATTAATATCAGATAATGTTTCATTTCCGATATTGCATATCTCCTACAGACGAGATGTCTGCATGTCTATTCCATCATACAGATTACTATGTGTCTATCTATATTGTTATCAATATACCTCGTTTATTCTGAACAGAGATTTGATCAAGCGATTGCTGGTGATCGACCGAACTAAACGACTTGGGGCTATGAAAAATGGAGCTGAAGATATTAAGAAGCATAAATGGTTTAAAGGAATTGATTGGGAGGAAGTCACAGATCGTAAATTAACTGTGAGTTACAATGCCTGGGTAGTACAATCAGATCTACAAATGTTGAATAGTGAACGTGCATGATTACATCTATGAGAGTATTGTTTGTATTCATACTAGGTATATAGAGTGTGTTACAAGTACAAGATGGTAGTTGTACTGTGCATTTTAGTTCTTCTATTAGCAGCACACCTTATGCGTTAAGAGTCATATGATTTTGTTATAATAATTATGGCATTCAAGTACTTTTTACCTCTGATGTCTTGGTCAATAAATAATCTGAAAAGCGACTAAAATTTGTTTCTTTGTTATTTCTAATGCTGAAACTACTTGTACATAGAATGTGTCACAAACTTCTCTGGTCACAATCAACTGCTTTGATGAAATATGCAAAAATTACTAAAAATGTTATTACTTTGCAAAGTTCAAATATATTGTATTCAGTTTGTTTTTTCTTCAACGGAGCAGGATGATATCGTTGATGCAAACATTGCCCTATTGTGTGGTGATTATTTCTTCCACAGTGCAGGGTAATTTCATTAATTTTAATGAAGTTCATTCTGATTACAGCCTCCAATCATACCTGAAGTACTGCATGACGGCGACACACAGAACTTTGATGAGTATGATGAAGAAGACTGGCAGAATGCTGCTGAAGTTAGTGAAAAAGATGTCGAGATTTTCAAAGATTTCTGAGCCTGTGTGCTAAGATTTTGATTAGTATTTGTCCATATTGACCAGATAACATTTTAGGTAAACATGACCTCTTGACCTCTATGAAATGAGAGCATGCATTCCTGTGCTTTTAATATTGTGGGCATGCTTGTGCTTTTAATGTTAAAATCAAACTGAAATTGACCACAATACTTGATGATGATGATGTTGGAAGATTGTAATTTAACCTCTGCATTTCTTTGTCAATCTGTGTACAGTTTTAATTAGACAGTTTAATCTTTTTTTTTGGGGGGGGGGGGTGTTCAAATAGGATGACAGCATTATTGGAATTATTGTATTCCCTCGAGGGTGTATTTCTCACGTTTTTGGGTTGTTAGTGATTGAATCTTGCTGCAACAAAAACAGGTGAATGAAACAGTGAGAGAACTGTACGTGGATTAGATATAAACCCAGTCACATGTGTATATTGACCAAGTAAGAGTGTTTGTGATTGGATAAACCCAGTCACATGTGTATATTTACCAAGTAAGAGTGTTTGTGATTGGATAAACCCAGTTGCATGTGTATATTGACCAAGTAAGAGTGTTTGTGATTGGATAATCCCAGTTGCATATGTATATTGACCAAGTAAGAGTGTTTGTGATTGGATAATCCCAGTTGCATGTGTATATTGACCAAGTAAAAGTGTTTGTGATTGGATAATCCCAGTTGCATGTGTATATTAACCAAGTAAGAGTGTTTGTGATTGGATGGACAATGTCAAATGACCCTTTGATAGGAAACTTGGTTAATAGGTGAATACACATTGTACCGTAATGTACCATGTACCGTAAACGTTCGCATTCAAGGAGTATGTATAATGTATGTATAATGATTGAGGTGGCCTGTTACTTTATAAATTAATGTGTCTGTTGAGGTATATATTGCACACGATGACATGTGATTGGACTTGTCTGGCTGAATATTTACCATACTGCCCAAATGTTAATATAGATGGCCTGTTGAATGGATAAGTGTCAAAATGTAAGATCACCTGTGATTGGATGAACTGGACAAATGTAAAAATGTAAGAATACACATGATTGGTTACACTGGCAACAATTACCAAAAAATATTTTATTTTAATACTTTAATTTAAAATTAATTTTTAGATAAATTAGTTTGCTATAGTTAAATAGTTAGACCAGTTGATAATAACACTTTATTCTGTATATGCTTGGCACTTCTCAGAAATGCTTGCATATCAGATCAGCAGTCTGGAGATTATACACATCAGATCAGCAGTCTGGAGATTATACACATCAGATCACCAGTCTGGAGATTATACACATCAGATCACCAGTCTGGAGATTATACACATCAGATCAGCAGTCTGGAGATTATACACATCAGATCACCAGTCTGGAGATTATATACATCAGATCAGCAGTCTGGAGATTATACACATCAGATCAGCAGTCTGGAGATTATACACATCAGATCAGCAGTCTGGAGATTATACACATCAGATCACCAGTCTGGAGATTATACACATCAGATCATCAGTCTGGAGATTATACACATCAGATCACCAGTCTGGAGATTATACACATCAGATCACCAGTCTGGAGATTATACACATCAGATCACCAGTCTGGAGATTATACACATCAGATCACCAGTCTGGAGATTATACACATCAGATCACCAGTCTGGAGATTATACACATCAGATCACCAGTCTGGAGATTATACACATCAGATCAGCAGTCTGGAGATTATACACATCAGATCACCAGTCTGGAGATTATACACACCTGTCACCAGATCATACATACGCCATGACAAAACATCATAGACACTTGTGATGGTGTTAACATTGTTGGAGAACAAATGCACAAAGTCAGTATTGGAAATAAACTTAGGGCATAAACAAGCTGAGCTGAGGTAGCTCTAGGCAGAAACATGCAGAGCAGAGGCAGCTCTAGGCATAAACAAGCTGAGCTGAGGCAGCTCTAGGTATAAACATGCAGAGCAGAGGCAGCTTTAGGCATAAACATGCAGAGCACAGGCAGCTCTAGGCATAAACATGCAGAGCAGAGGCAGCTCAAAGCATGAACATGCAGAGCAGAGGCAGCTCAAAGCATGAACATGCAGAGCAGAGGCAGCTCTAGGCATAAACATGCAGAGCAGAGGCAGCTCTAGGCATAAACATGCAGAGCAGAGGCAGCTCTAGGCATAAACATGCAGAGCAGAGGCAGCTCTAGGCATAAACAAGCTGAGCAGAGGCAGCTCTAGGCATAAACAAGCTGAGCAGAGGACGCTCTAGGCATAAACATGCAGAGCAGAGGCAGCTCTAGGCATAAACATGCAGAGCAGAGGCAGCTCTAGGCATAAACAAGCTGAGCAGAGGACGCTCTAGGCATAAACATGCAGAGCAGAGGCAGCTCAAAGCATGAACATGCAGAGCAGAGGCAGCTCTAGGCATAAACATGCAGAGCAGAGGCAGCTCTAGGCATAAACATGCAGAGCAGAGGCAGCTCTAGGCATAAACAAGCTGAGCTGAGGAAGCTCTAGGCATAAACATGCAGAGCAGAGGCAGCTCAAAGCATGAACATGCAGAGCAGAGGCAGCTCTAGGCATAAACATGCAGAGCAGAGGCAGCTCCAGGCATAAACATGCAGAGCAGAGGCAGCTCCAAGCATAAACATGCAGAGCAAAGACAGCTCAAGGCATAAACATGCAGAGCAAAGGCAGCTCAAGGCATAAACATGCAGAGCAAAGGCAGCTCAAGGCATAAACATGCAGAGCAAAGGCAGCTCAAGGCATAAACATGCAGAGCAGAGACAACTCTAGGCAGATGTAGCTACAAATATACATGCTAGTGTTTTTCTAAAAATATACGTCTCATGAATTCTATAGACCAGTGGAAGCTTGTCGCCTCAGACATGTATTCTTATCTTAACCTTTGTTGAAGCATACTTGCATGGCTGTAGTTCAGGTGTGCTATTGTCACCTGATGTTATCATTGATTTCTCTTCCCATTGTCAATAGTTGCAGACTGATTGGTATGCTGTGCATAGATACATACATGTATAGGCAGCTGTTATAATCCATGACAGGTTGTCATCAAATTATGGTTGGGATTTGCTCAGTCTGAGTAGAAATCTAGATGTTGTGAAGATCAGGGGTGTATGAGAAATGACATAGTGAGAAGGGATGTAAAATGATCTAATAAGTTCTGCAATGAGAGGTGGTCTATGAAAAATGTGGATTAGAAAGTGAAGAACTTATAAGTGATTTGATGATAAATGATGCGATGACAAGTGGTATTATGAGCTCTGATCTTTCCTACCAATTACTTAAATAGTTTGTAACCATAGCAATATATCAATACTCAATTTATATCACGGTTCACTCAGGATATTTGTGGAAAAAGGTTAAACTATTTGATTTGGTTGAGTAGACTACAATTGAAGGATGGGTGACATTTTCTAAGTTGCATTCACTCAGCTTGAAACGCTTCATTACCCAACCTTTCAGTAAATTTCATCTGATGTAACTGACAAACATTTTGTATTTCAAGAAACATGAATAATTATTCCAGTTTTCCCATTACATTCTGCAAAAGTCATATTTGTATTTTGTCTTGGGCTTCAAGTTGGACAGACTGAATTCTTGATTTAATTTCTAATGAATAGCACACACCTGATTAGAGTGAATAGATTCTTTATAGTAGTAGAATATATTAATGAATAGAGTGTAACTACATATGTGAGTGTACTGTTACTGCGCAGGCTTGTACTAAAATACACCTGTCAACAAAAATGTCACCTAATTTATTTAGGTAGGTGATTGGTAGTAGGATACTTTCAGAAAATTGAATATAAATTTAAACATTTTCTGTTTGAATTATTTTTTGTCATATCTTAATGGTATGCATGTATTTATTTAAGGTTGGTTATTTTAAACAAAATAAGACCAAATTATAATTAAATATATTACTTAATTTTAGGATTTTTCTGTCTGTGCTATTATAAGTATTAAGTAGACCATTTTTATGTATTTCAATTAAGATAAAATTTTGTACACAACTATTATAGAATTTTTATTGTATTCATTTTAAAAATAGAAATGTTTTCATTAAGTGTATATATTAATTTCAAAGTACAACGTGATTAGAGAATAAAGGAATTTGCAATGCTCATTATTAGTATTATAAATCACCACTATCAGAATTAGAGCTTTTTATTATCACCATATGATTTATAACAATGAATCCCCCATAATTTCATATTGGATTCAGCGAAGTGTCTATATATGATAATGTGTTTGTATCTACTCGCATATTATCACAACTCCACCTTCACCATTAGTTGGACGAATATCCTCATCCGTGCCTTGTTATCACGCAATAATGAGCAGTGCAAGGTCTTATTGATATTAATTATACATGTAATAGTACCTTAAGAAGGAATCAACAGTGTGGTAATTGTGTTGTAGAACATGGCACTTGTATTTTTGTTACTCGTGGAAAATGATGTGTGAAAACACACTCGTAGATAAATATATTGATGAAAATAAACAGGATTTCTTAACATGACTGAATCATGAAAAGTTTGATCTAAAGCACTCCCCTGTTATTGTAGGTTATAAATCATCAGTATCAGAATTTGAGCTTTTTATGACATAACTTTACATTATCAAACAATCATGTAAACCTCTATTTGCAAGTAAATTCACTTCAACAAAAAATTTAACTGAATTTGTTTTATTCTGATGGTAGTGATTTATAAAAATAATACGAATCCCCTACAGCATTACGTTAAATTTAGAGAAGGGTTGAGATGCGATAACATGTTTGGCTTTGCATCGTGCATTATCTTGCCTCAGACACTTCTTCTCATTCAATATGTGGCTGTGGGGGTTTTATTGTTTAAATAACAGGGCTGTACTTGACCAATGAAAATATGGAGTTTCAATAAAGGACAGTCTGTCTTTGATGCATAACCATGTATAAACCCAATATGTAAATGTTAATTT